GGGGGGGATGGGAACTGCTGGAATTGACTGACCCATAAAAGAAACATGGGTTATCAAGTTTGGAGAATTGATACTTCAAGAACAGCAGACTAACCTCGATGTTATACTTGACACTTCCTGCGTAATGCTTGATGACAAACGCTTGTTGTATGAGAGACTGCTCATAATACTTGTGACCTGAATGGTTCTTGTCCAGTTTGGCCAACAGAGAATTTTCTGTGGCTCCAGGAAAACTGAGCAAAGAAGGTAAATATTCTGGTTAACTATAGACTATTTATGTTCCCTTTATTGGAATTAATTGTATTGCAACAATGTATTTCCTGGGAGTAGGGTGGGGGATTCTATAAGACCAAAAAATTTAAAGAAACCTATGAAGCTCAATTGCAATTTCCAGAGAAGTGGGGGTCTTAGAAAAAAAAAAACCCTTCCCAGGGGAGGTATAGATAATTTCTGGAACTACACACTAAAACAAATGTTCATGGGCAGATATTCCAGATGTCTGTCCAGATTCAGTAGACTAACCTACTCTCTTCATCAATCAGGTTTAGCAGGCCTGTTGGTCGGCCTGAGATCAAGTCCAGGCAGGCTGCATTGTCCACAAAGTCTACACTCCTCCACTCGATACCTTCGGAAATGTACTCATCCTGGAAAGCACAAATTTAAGTATGTCCATAAAGCATATATGTTGTATATGTTGTCTACAGTTTTTGTTTTACCAGCTTTTTTAAGTACAAAGTCCAATTCACCAAATTGCTCCTCACAGAATCAGCAGAGTATCATAAGAGATAGCTAAGGGAATAACATGTAACCAAATGGTAACCAAAGAAAATTTGCCTTGTTTAGAGACATCCAACTACAGTGGAATCCCAATTTCTCGAACCCTCACTTTTTTCTACCTCCCGATAACTCGAACCAAAAGTCATTTCCCTCCCTCAGTAGAACACCGTAATTTTACCCCCGATTTCTCGAACTACCCGATTTTTCAAAACAATTTCGTTTCCCTTGGAGGTTCGAAACATCGGGATTCCACCGTGGTTATTGTGACCAGTAAGAGAAGTTTGAATGTTGATGGGCAATTAGTCCTCAGTATATCTTAACCATTGTTTCAAATATTTTGTCATAGATAACTTGTTTTCTCCAGCATATCTGCACAGAATTCTACATTCAATATGTCAGTAGAAAGCTAGGTGCATGCAGATTCTTAAGAAAATTATGATTTGGTAGCTCAACTGGCCAAGGTAGATTCTCTGCATAGTCTCCACTTGTCAACGCCATCTTAAATTTTGCACGAGATTGCAATCGTTGTCAGACGCTTTCAAACTGTAGATTGAAAGCTCGCACATACTCAACTCATGTTAATGTCCCTTAAGCTAGTTTTATTCTTTACTCTTTACTGTGTTTTTTCTACCTTAGTCAATTTAACAAATCGAAAGTGGTTTAGCGTTGTCTGTACTTTTATCGACAATGAAATGCGTCATCACAGTGGTTAAATTTTTTTTTTTTTTTTTTTTTTTAGCAAAATCGCTTTTATGTGTTAGTTAAGAACGATAACTTTTCTTTCTCTTCAAAAGATCCAAAGGCTTGTCATTACTTGCTTGCATACCATTCATAGCACGTTTTTGTTATTTGCTAGTATTATTAAAACAAATTCGTGCGTTATACTTAAAGCTGTCACCTGTGCGCCTTCGAGCATCCCTGCTAGAGCCATTCTGCTGACTGTGTCCTGTAGCAATACGTACGGATCAAACTGTGTCTTCGGCTGCCAAAGTGGATATGGCAGCCTTTACGGGAATGTTACTAGGACGTGCTTACAATCTGGACAATGGAGTGGAAACGCGATCAACTGTACAGGTACCAGTATCTGTCCCAGTACACCATACACCCTCTAAGATACTACTGAGTAACTTCCATTTGAATCATTGACAATTTGGTACAACTTAATATGAAAAGCTGCTGATAACGAACCCCATCAAAGAAATCCTGGGAAGGTTTCATCCGAATAACCAAAAACAAACGAAAACGTTATAATGCTAGCTATGCGAGAGTCAACTGAAAGTGTGGCCTTGCAAAAAAGATCCCGACAGGTTACCGTGACATACAACATGTAATCAGTTAGAAGTTATTTCAGGACTTCGCTACATCAATTGAAGTACTTGTTGCGGTACTAAACCGATTGTTTAATATTGTTTTCTTCCATATTTCAGATATCCTTCCTCCAACATTTGGCCTCAAATGCCCAGCAAGTCCATTGCTGGTATATGCAGAACGTGGCATGTTTTCAGCAGAAGTAAACTGGACGGAACCGGTTGCTACTGATAATTCAGGAATCATGCCTACGGTAATGTCGAATTACCAACCGCCACAAAGACTCAGTCAGGGAACTCACGTGATCATATACACTGCAGAGGACCAANTATTTTTTTTTCTCAAAAGATCTAAACGCTTGACATTACATCATTGCATGCCATTAATATCATGTTTTTATCATGTACTAGTATTAATAAAACAAATTCGTACGTTATAATCAAAGCTGTCACCTGTGCGCCTTTGAGCATCCCTGCAAGAGCCATTCTGCTGACTGTGTCCTGTGGCAATACGTACGGATCAAACTGTGTCTTCGGCTGCCAAAGTGGATATGGCAGCCCTTACGGGAATGTTACTAGGACGTGCTTACAGTCTGGACAATGGAGTGGAAACGCGATCAACTTTACAGGTACCAGGCAGTATTCGTTTTAATGCACCATACACCGTCTAAAATACTACTCAGTAACTTCCATCTGAACTGCAACACGCTAGGGTTTTATCAACAACTTAGTGCAACTCAATATTCAAAGCTACTGATAACGAACCCCATCGAAGAACTCCTTGGAAGGTTTCATCCGAATAACCAAAAAACAAACAAACAAACAAACAAACAAACAAACAAACAAAAAAACGGAAACGGTATAATGCTAGCTATGTGAGAGTCAACTGAAAGAGCGGCCTTGCTAAAAAGATCCCGACAGGTTACCGTGACATATAACATATAGTGAGTTGGAAGTTATTTCAGGACTTCACTACATCAATTGAAGTACTGGTAGCTACATCAATTTAAGTACTTGCTGTGATACTAAACCGATTGTTTAATGTTGTGTTCTTTCATATTTCAGATATGCTTCCTCCAACATTTGGCATCAAGTGCCCAGCAAGTCCATTGCTGGTATATGCAGAACGTGACATGTTTTCAGCAGAAGTAAACTGGACAGAACCAGTTGCCACTGATAATTCAGGAATCATGCCTAGGGTGACGTCGAATTACCAACCGCCACAAAGACTCAGTCAGGGAACTCACGTGATCATATACACTGCAGAGGACCAATCAAAGAACAAAGCAACTTGTAGCTTCACTGTTAAAGTAACAGGTACGGATTAAACATACACGAAGTTTCATATATTTACTCTTGGTAACATTTGTTTCAGCATATCTGTAATAGCAAATTGTTATATAGGATATAGCTTACAAAACGTGGCGTTGCATCTCACCATCTCCCCCACCCCCCATCTCTGCACCAAAAAACACTGTTTTTAATATTTGTGGCTGCCTCGTCTTAAGTTTGTTCGTGATGTTAATACATTATTTTAACAGTTTGCTCTTTTCCGACGGGCAATACAGTTCTATTTAAATGCTAACCATCAATTAAGTGGTCATCATTTTAATGTCAACAGTTATCAATTGCACATCGCTGATGGTAGACCAAGGAAGTCCACTGCGCATGAGCAGCTGCGGTAGTCATTTTGGGGTACAATGCAAGTTTTCTTGCATGATTGGTTATCGTTTGAATGGCTCATCAACAGTCACCTGTGTTGCCCCTGGCAACAGACCCCCTGGATCATGGGATAACCCGCTGCCTATATGTCAAGGTAAGTTATACAGATGACAGCTTTCATATAATCAAGCGATCCCTTTTATCTTTACGCTCGGAATCATGCTCAATCGAGCTAAAATGTATTGGCAGTCATCAAGCTGAAACAACAACCATGATGAAACAACAGGGTATCCTTGTAATATTTGTTTGTTTAATTTTAATTGACAAGTTTGGCTCAATGGTTGATGTGCTGGACTCAGGAACTTGCATTTTGTGTGGTCTAAGCAATGCATATTTAGCAACTGATCTTTTCGTTTATCTGTAGCTATAACATGTACTTCTCTGCCTTCTCCATCTAATGGAGTTAAGACCGGCTGTACTCACATCGGATCAGAAACTTATAATACTCATTGCAGTTTTACATGCAATGTTGGCTACACTCTGGTTGGTTCGCCGGCTAGGCGGTACCTAGAAAATGGGACTTGGAGTGGAGACATGCCTTCTTGTCAAGGTAAGTAAAAATACAACCTTTACCATCAAAGGCTGTTAGTTATGCAGTTTTGAAAGCTGTAAAAACACCAGGCACAATGACTCACTTTGGTAGGAATATACCTGCTCCATTTCATGGTTAAACCTTTCTGTGGGCCTTTGCCGATTACGACTGATGGTTTCATAGTAGAGCAACAAGACAAATGAAAGGAAGATTAAACCAGAAACAGCTGCTTCTTTGCAGAATATTGGAAGTATGTCGGGAAAAACACAGGCTTGAAGAGTGTATTACATCAAGTTTAAAGTTCTTAATCTCAGGAACAGTCTTAACACAAACATTACCTTAGCATTAACGCGTCAGAAGATTTTTATTTCTTTGTCCGTTTATTTAGTAATCAGTTGTGGCGCACTCACTCCTCCAGCGCTTGGTGTCATTTCTCCACCTTCCTGCCTAGTTGGCAGTAATTATAGCCAGACATGTCAATATACTTGTGAAAGACTCGGATACGTTCTCAAGGGATCTTCTGTAAGAATGTGTGATACTAACGGACAGTGGACTGGGTCAAACGTAACACGTTGCAGAGGTAAAGTGACTTAGTTCAACCTAATGTAGACTGTTTGCTTATTTTCTTTCCTTCTACCTGCATTTCTTATTATCAGAATATTAATACGATGAACGTCTTGGCAATCATTTAGAGGAAGTACTGATCTACTTCTGCCTTGTTAGAACTTAACCATCATTTTCCCTTATAATCACTGGTGTACTGGTCATCAACTCTTAATGCGTAGTCTTCGGTATTCTCAATTCTATTTCTTTTGTTTCGTTTTGATTTTATTTCAAAATGTAGAAGCTTTAACAATTTGTTTATTCATGGTGTTTGTCTCCCAGCAAACTGCTTGCTTTAAAAGGCTGTCTTTTTCATCGTTTGTAGATACTGCTCCTCCTTCATTCAATGACACCTGTCCTAACAATATGGTGTTCTATGCTGCTGAATGTTCGTCCAGCGGTTTAATTACGTGGAATGAACCAGTGGCTACTGACAATTCTGGTCACGTGTCTATCAGCTACCCTACCATTCGTTCTCCTGCCAACCTTAGTATCGGTCTGTACAGTGTACTTTATTCTGCGATAGACAGCAGTGGAAACCAAGCTAACTGCACGTTTATAGTTCAGGTAGCAAGTAAGTCAATCCTCCTGTCATGAGGAAAATATCATGATAAATAGATATATACTAAAGAAAGAAATGTTTGCAAGACTTTAATCACTTCTGATTATATCATATCCATAGTTTTATTTTAAAGATGCGGCTTTTCTCTAAAGACAGAACTGAACTTTTCTGATTCACAGGAAAGTCTTGTACTATTCTTCAAGCACCAATACACGGGGCCATAACTTCTCTTTCGTGTGGATTTTTATTTGGTTCCCTGGCTTCCTTCTCTTGTGATAAAGGATACCAAATGGCTGGGTCTCGACAGCGCTCGTGTAGAGCAGATGGAACATGGTCAGGCGACACAACCCTATGTAACAGTAAGTGACTGCTACCCACGTCTTTTTGATTTGCATACTTTGTGACGCAAAACGGAAATTTCGTGCAGCACTGTTATATCATTATAGGACAGCATCACACTGGAATTGATTGCTCGCGACATTCAGTAACTTGTTGCTTCCATGCATAATACCTAATTGTATATTTTTGGATCGCTTCGGCAAATCAGGCTCAATTAGTTTCCCGATAGCCTGAACCATGGCCTGACTAATCTCAACTGACATACCGCCGAAGCGTACCAAGAAGATACGATTGTATATGAGAACCGTGTTGACGTATGCGAAGATACAAGAGTCGCTCGAACGATTACTGGATGTCGTTTTCCGTTATTTCCAGAATAACCAAGTGTAAGTGTTATCGGCTGAGGCTGATAATATTTGCAGTGACCTTGATAAGTCTGGATATCGCGAAAAATCGAACTTAGTAATTGTGTTAATACATATTGAACAAACATAAGTTTCATTCACTGTTAGTGAAATCAATTTAGTTTGAAGGCTGAATGTCCACTTCATGCTAAAACGTTTCTGTTCAGCTGTTCGTGAAAATTATCCCCTTTATTTATTCTACCTATTACGACTTTTTCCGTGGATTTTTTGGTGTTTTCCGCTTCTGCATTATCCACTTTATTTCTGCATTTCGTAAAAGGGAATGTGATCGAAACGAAATCATCTTTGTAGCTGTGCGACCGCGCTTAACAAGTGACCAGTATCTAGAATTATCTTAAGCCAACAGATTCTATGGAAACTGAGAGCCTACAGTGTAATAAGTATAGGTAATCGTATGAGTGCAAGTGCAATTAAAGACTTCCGCAACGACTGATATTTGAAAATTCTCTCAAACTTACACAAACCTTTAGGGGAGTGTACTGTGAAAGAATTTACAAATATCACGAGTTGTGTAAATCCTGAATTGCTCGAACCTTCATACGATTACTCATTTATTATATGACTGCGAAAATCACAAAAGTTCACGCGTTAATTTGCACTGTGGTGCAAATTAAAAATAAACGACAAATTGGCCCGCTCTCTCTCGAGGAATGCACTTAGCGTTTCTATGCTGTTACTTTKAACATATACAAGTAAYATATCCTTGACCGTGCTTTGCTCCTTTATCAAGCACTGAAAGGAAAGAAAGCGAAACACGGGCCGCTAGCTATCAAACTTAAACTCATTGAGCTTTATTAAGAAACAAAGCAACTTTTCCTTATTCCAACGTTATGTACAAGAGTCCCAGTTATCTTTCAAAATGGTTCATAGTTCGTGTTTGCTTTCTTCCATTTGTTAGGTGTCCGACAATTACAGCGCCAACACATGGAGTGATATTTCCTTATCCATGCACTTCGATCTCTGGTGTAAATTATGGAACAGATTGCTTCTTCATGTGCAATGTTTCCGTTGGTTACCGACTGGAAGGTGCACAAAACGTATCCTGCCTCGAAAGTGGGTTTTGGAGTGCAGATACTACCAAGATAATATGTAGAGGTATCTAATCTAGATGTATTTTTGTACGTGGTGTATTTACCTGATAAACCAGAGAAATTGAACTTAATCATTTTCGTTATTTAGCTATTTTGTGTTTCTCCGCGGTAGCAGGTGCACAAGACCATCTCTGACCAACCTGGTTGTTTTTTGTTTTTGTTTTTGTTTTATTTGTTTGTTTTTTTATTTGTTTGTTTTTGTTTTTCCTGTTGATTCTTCAGCTCCACTATTCTCTAGTCTTTCTCTTCCTCTCGACCTTTTCTACACAAAATTGCCTTCATTTTATCTCTTGACCATCCAATTTCTGATTTCCATGCAACCTAGTGTCCTCAAAGTCATTCGTTTTCCTTATCTTCCATGTTTTGCAGACAAAGCAGGACTAGCTCTAAAGCACACTGAGATAGATAGTCCCTCCAAATACAACAAGATAGAGATCCACTTAGAGCATGCTCACGTTGCTGATCCATAATTTAACATTGATATCATCGGCCGTACTTATTGTGCTTGGTACATACTGTCCCTCACCAGATTTACCACACGAATCCTTAAATTTCATGCTGTATAGACACTTATCTTCTGCTTAAAACGTATTTTATTTCTAATCGTTCAATGATATTTCTGCTGTTCTTTGGTATCCATTTAATTAGACTTCGTTATACTGTTATCTGAGTTGTCATTCAGTACAGCTAACCTTCGTGGTGACCTTTAATTCTCCTGCAAACCACCTCTTATGCTAAGTGTTCTTCTTCTTGGTCCTCTCCATGTACATCCACTGACGTAATCAATATACTCCTTAT